CCTGATTTATACACCAATATCAAATCCTTCAGGCAGAAAATAATACTATTTCAATCGCAATTACGTAAAAAATGTTTCACACATTTTGAAACATGTGAAATATTCAGCCACACTACAGAGACTGAATTTCCCGTCAATTTTGCAATCGAAACTTTGAGTGCTTTGAAGATAAATTTTGATACTCGTTAAGCTTTTTCAAAGTTTTTTTGATTCTGACATTGAAACCCTGGCTCCGGAAGTCCAAATGGAAGTTATTGATTTATGGTGCAGTGATATGCTTAAGAACAAATATCAAAATTCATCTTTGTTGGAATTTTATAAGTCTTCCACTGGAACAATTTGATAATTTGCTCGTGGGTTGTTTTCTATTTTTGGTACTACTTACTTGTGTGAGAAAATGTTTTCCAAGATGAAGTACACAAAGAATGTTTACAGATCTCAATTAACCGAAGAGCATCTTAAATCTCTTTTGATAATTGGTACAAGTAAAATTGATCCACAACTACAAAGTATTGTCGGTGGAAAATCACAATTACATAAATCTCATTAGTGTTTTTGTTTTACTGTGATTCATTTCGCTGGCCGGATTGATGACACTGGCGGGCCGGATTTGGCCCACGGGCCGTAGTTAGGAGACCCCTGATTTAGATCATGGTATCAAAGATTGTAATTCAATAAGTCAATTCAAGGGAAGGTTGAAAATGCACATAATGGGCGAGTGATTTTGATTTATTGTTATTTCTTGTGTTCAATAACTTCATTACTATTCCAAGGTTTATAAACTGTTGTTTTTGTTGCTTTGTATCTGTATCAATACTTTTGTCTTATCTTTGTTGCCCACCTACGTGTAGATATTTCATATGAGAGTTGAAGTTTATTATTTGTGATTGTAACCAGTCATATATATGTATATATTTGTAATTCATTTTTTGAATATTTTGACATTAGCCTAATGATAGTTAAGATCAGACATTAATAAATGAAATAACTCAGTTGATTCAACATATTCTTTTGAAAGTCCTTGACAATAATGGAATTCCAACAATTCTACAGGTTCTACTACTGTTCCGAACCGGGCCCGATCGACAACTCCGACTTCCTGTGCCAACACGGCTCGGTCAGCCCCGACCGAGATGTGGACATGGACAAGATCGCCATGGTGGTACCGTATGAGGTGTACGACTACCTCTTCAAAAAGTACGGCGGGTGTCCGCCTTTCGCCGGCCTGTCCGTGTGTCCAGCGTGCTCTGCTTTGCAGAAGAGGCTCCTGCTCGAGATGGAGACGTTCGTGCAGGTCAGCAGGGAGGCGCAGAACCGTGACGCGCCCCATACCCATTTCCTTTCAACGTCTTGGTACACACAGGTTAGTTTCTTTGTTTATTTTCCTTGTTAAGTGGGTATATTCGATCCTCCGTTACAACTAGCCAAGTTTCATTGTGGCTCACAACTATTTAACTCCACCAAATGAAATCAGCTTCTTGACGCACCGATTAGTTATTTGGTGAGGGGTCTTTCATGTCAGCTGGAAAGAGAGGCAGTTCAACTGTTGAAGAACTCAGGGGCTCCTACTCTTGATTTGATGTTACAGGGGGATGTTGAGGTTGTTTAATCAACCTCCATTTCTTGTGTAAACTCAAAGTGAACAATAGTGCATAATATCAATCAATCAATCAATATGCTTCATTGTTAAAAAAAACAAGTCTTATTGTAGAAGTAATATAAAAGAAAATAAGAGAAGTATTACAGAATAAATAGAAGTATAGACTCAACTACATAGAGTGGATAAAAACAGCAATATTCAGATACAAAAGGAAAGGAAAGTAGATCCTTCAGGGCTTTTCTAAACTTAGTGTATACATAAGCAACGAACATCTATTGACAAGTGATTGCACATTTTCTTGTCAGTGTAGTATATTACAGAGTTTTCATCATTGAGCTTCTGGGAATGGGTAAGGGGATCATGTGAATGAAATACCTTGTATTATATTGGGAACTTGAATAAATTGCTTGGCGAAATTGATTATACAGTGCGAGTCTCTAACATGGAACAAATTCACTAAATCAAAGGTGTTGTTTCTTTCGGAAATATGCTCGGACACGTCGATTAGTATTTTGAAGTGCCCTGCACAAAAACTGTTAGTCGTTTCACAGTTTGTTGTTCACCATTAGTAAAATGCCGTACTTAACTGAAACACATAAGATTGAAATTCTAATGATGATTGGCTACGGAGATAGGACAAGAACCCAAAATGAAGTTATCCATTTATTCAGAGAGAAGTATCCTGATTTACCACCCATATCGCGAAGTACCGTAAGCAAGATCGAAAAACAGTTCCGGAAAAATGGCCGTTTAAGAAAAAATAATAATAATCTTCGAAGGCCGCTCAGTGAAGAGGTCAAAATAAATGTTCTTCTCTTTGTTGAAGAATATCCGCATGTCCCCACTAGACAGATTGCTATGGAACTCGAAATTAGCCAGTCTTCAGTAGCAAGAGTTCTTAAAGCTGAAAAATTTCATCCATATAAAAGAACGATCCTCCAGGAACTCACCGAAGATGATCCAGATAGAAGACTCCAGTTTTGCGAACAAATGATGGATCTACTAGACAGGAATGTTGTATGAATCAACGTTTATGTTGAATGGTGTGGTAAATCGTCAAAATTGTCGTTATTGGGGAGACAGAAACCCACACTGGATGAGCGAAGGCCACGCTCAACATCCAGAAAAAGTCAATGTTTGCGCAGGGATTGTTGGTGATCGAGTTATAGTACCGATTTTTTTCCAAGAAAATCTTACTGGAGCAAGATATTTAGAATTCTTGCAGGAGGATCTAGTTCCGAATTTGGCTTTTTTGTTCCCTTGTCCTATAGAAGCTGACGTCCCGAATAGAAACATCTGGTTTCAACAGGACGGCGCGCCTCTTCATTTTGCAAGACCTGTCCGTGAGTACCTGAATGATGTATTTCCAGGCAGATGGATTGACAGAAGAGGACCCTATGAATGGCCACATAGGTCTCCGGATTTAACACCTTTGGACTTTTTCTTGTGGGGTTACTTGAAGAGCAAAGTTTTCAAGATCAAACCGGCAAATATTGAGGATTTAAAAGAACGAATAAGACAGGAATGTAGGCTAATTTCCAGCGAAGTAATCAGAAATGTTCAGTTACGTTTAGGGTATTGACAGGACAACATTTTGAAGACTTGTTAAAGAAAGACTATTGAATTGAATTCATTTTTTGAATTAGATAATGTTTTTTAAATATCTTTCAAAGGACAAGGAGTAAAAAAGTTAAATTTGGCAGGCATGTGCAACTTGTTGAACCCTTCAATAAAAGTCATTAAAAAAACAGGGTTGTCATTTAAAAAAATTATTGATGACGTCATATCTCATATTTGAGACACACTGTATTTTTTTGCATTAAAATAAAGGCAATTTAAAATACTAATCGACGTGTCAAAGCATATTTCCAAAAGAAACAACGCCTTTGATTTAGTGACTTTATTCCATGTTAGAAACTCGCACTGTATATCAAGCATACACTCTCTAAGATCAATATCTTGTTTCTGTACTACAAATACACTTTCTTATAGCATCCCACTCAAAAACCCCAGAATGATATCCCGTAAAATAACTAAAACTCGATGATTGCAGTCTAGAATAAAGTTCATAAAGTGGAAACATTTATCAAAACTTCCATTATTCCGTTTCAGTGGCACAACTTTGTTCAAAAACGTAACCAGGAACCGCCCGGGCCCATAGATAACTCCAAAATCAATTTAAATCAACTCGATCTGAACGAAGCGGCCGATGTTCCGGAATGCATATGGAACTTTTTCTATAACATCTACGGAGGCGGTCCGGAAATCAGGATAAAACCTACATTAGAGGTAATCATTTTTGTTTTATCAAACCTTTTGTTGGTCGGTAGCCAAGCGGTTCGACGTGGGTGCTTTGTTCAACTTGAATTGACTGTCGATGTCGTGTTGATTGGTGGTTCAAGCCCCAGTCTGAACGATCGATTTTCACTTACTATCGTCCAACCCGTGTTAAAAGTCACGCGTTAAAAGGTAAGACCTCGTTAATCCTTGGCTGGCACAAGTTCATTGTCCTTTATTAGCTATAACCGATGTTGCCGAATGGTGAAATAGAAACGAATCCCTTTAAATGTTGAATGCATTATTTCATTCCTCTTTTTTAAGTATTTGAATGATTTTTTTAAGAAAAAGGTTAAAATGATAAGTATAAAATGCGTTGTTTTAGAGCTCTTTTATGAAAACTACTTTATTTTCGTCAGGAGGAACATTCTCCATTGTACCTATCAGTTAGTTTTTATATGAATTTTTCTTTTGCCACGAATTCAAATGTTATTTCAAACTTGCCATGAAACACATTTTTTGACTCATTAATCGATAATAAGTTTGAGGACCACATACTATTTTCCAAAAACTTTTTTCCCGATGTTATGCAATAAAAATAACTTCTAATGAATTAGGAGTAACTGCAGCTAAAACGGTTGATTATTTTTTGGTAGAATAACATTAAGATATGTGTCCCTTTCTGAAGTGTTTGCGCTCTAACTCAACTACGGTCTGTTTTTGTTCTACAGAGTCAGGCGGCGAGATGCTTGTAGGCCTTTGTTTGTCACAAACTAATTTTTGTCACTGTATACTCGTTTCATTTCAAAAACACTTTGTTCAATTCATGAAAATTGAACACGACTTCCCACAACTGATTATGCCACACGCCAGACCCCAAATTTAGGTTTTCCCATACTTATCTCTACTTTAGTTGAAAATTCTGTATCGTATAATGGTCTGGAGACGTACAATAATGTCCCAAATACTTAAAATGCCTAGTAAACTGTACTTAGTTTCGCAAATCAACTAAAGATTTTCTTATTAAGAAATTTTTTATATATATTCATGATTTTATACATTATTTATGTGTTATAACAATTATGTTTATATATGCGTGTGGGTATTTCTTTTTTTGTATAACGAGTATCATTTTTGACATTTAAAATGTATAATTTTTATGATAGGACTCTATGTGGACTGTTGAAAAAATAACAAGCTTCAAAGATTGGAAACACTGGTACAAGTACTACATNTATTGAAAAATTGGAAAAGCGTTGGAACCATTGTATCACCCTAAAAGGAGATTATGTTGATGAATAAAAAAAAATTTTGTAAAAAAAATGTTGTTTTCATTGTTAGTCTCGGGACTTATTGATCCATGTGTTATATTATATCTGAGGGGGGCTACTTTGAAGGGCACAAAATAGAATTTGATAAATAAATGAATTTTTTTGAGAAAAATGAAAATTTGCCTTTCTTCTTGAACAAACAGCGTGTACTTGGCTTTCTTCAGATGATTATCATTTCAGCAAGTAACCCCTTTCATTCTCTCATAATTTCATATCATCAACGACCATAATTGAGCTGCATTTTGAATATGTGAGTTACACCACTCTTGGTGTAAAATTAATCTTTGAAGAACAGAAACATTTCAATGTTTTTTTCTATAGACGCTTTCTGTTGAAGGTCCTACAACTACCAGAAGTTTTGTGCATTCATCTCAAGAGGTTTCGGCATGAATTGATGTTCAGCAGCAAAATTTCGTCGGCCGTTAGTTTTCCCCTGAAAGGTCTCGACATGAGGCCGTATCTTCACACCGACTGCGTTTCCAAAGTGTCGTCATACCAGCTGTTCTCTGTCATATGTCATCATGGGACGGCGGGTGGAGGACACTATACCTGTTTCGCTCTCAATTCAGGTTAGTAGACTTGGTTGTGGTTTTCGTACAGTGCGTTTTTGAACATTCAGAATATTTGAATAATTCTAATCGACTGTGCTAAGAATCGAACGTTAAAATGTAAGACCTCGTTGATCCTCAACTCGCACAAGTTTCGACTCCTGAGAGTTGTCGTTCATAAGGGTGTGAGAGCTGGTTAATGGAAATACAGATTCAAAACAGATTATTCAAACTAAAACATAAACGTTTTTGAATAATAATCCCTTCTAAATTTTATAAATGAACCTATGCACGCCATGAGTTTTTAGATACCACTAAGATTTCCTGAAACTCGGGGAAAAGATAGTTCTTGATGAATAGAGCGAAAATTGTAATGAATGTGAAGCTCAAAAATGAACCGGTTTTGAACCAGAGCAGCCCAAAGTTAGAGCAATCACATGTAAAACAGTACAAGGTCGCTGAATACGAATCTGAGTTCAGATTGTGGATATCATGACCCATATTAGGCCATGGGCTACCCAAAATGGGCCAAGGGTCTATGAAAATGGGTTAATTCGTTATTACATGTGAAAAACTGTTTAATCTGAGATTTTTTGAGAGCACTGATTACAACTCTGATGTATGTTTTATAGAAGAAGAAGAACTTTATTTCCAGATAGGCAAGCCTAATATAAACATAATTAATGTACTTTATCTAAATATAATACATAAAAATCAAAATAAATTAGTCTATTATAACCAAATAACAGAAAATCACAAAAAAGAAAAAGAAACTCTCCTAGATTTGCCCTCTTTTGATNTATATATATACGCAGACCACGGCCACAAAACCCAGAAAATAGCTATCATTCAGTAATGTATATATGTTCAAAGTAACGTTTCTCTTCAGGTCAATGGTACGAGTTTGATGACCAGTACGTAACGAAAGTATCTGGGGACAAAGTTCAAATGTGTGAAGCGTATGTTTTGTTTTATCAAAAAGTGGGCGTGGATGCCGTCAGAACTCGGGACAAAGCAGAAAAAATCCTTGAGGAGACTGCTGAGAATATGCTCGACAATAATATCAGGAGGACCTACATTTCCAGACAGTGGATTAACAGGTTTGTATTCAGTTTGAATGAATAGGTGCCAAAACTGAGCCCGGAAGGCCATGCACAATTATTTCACTTTCATATATTAATGGGGATGATTACGGGAAACTCATCCGGCAGAGTGCGCTGAGTGTTTGTCACATTGGTCATTACCTGTCAAAGTTTATACCGTTATTTATTGATTTATTTGAAAGTTTCTTATTTAAATTGCTTGCAATTCAAGATGTATTCTACATGGCGTATCGCTCAGTTGAAGGAGGAGTTGCAGAGGAGAGGTGCAACCCTAGGAGGGAAGAAAGCTGATCTAGTAGAAAGGTTCATAATTTTGCATATTTGAACAACTCTCTCATTATCAAGACAGTTTTTTGTATCCAATTTGCTCCCAAGAAATATATTAATGAAAAAAAACCACATATTTTGTGTTTTTTCCACTAATAATCAATGAACATTATTCTAACCTCAAAAACATGCAAGTTTTAAGGTTCAATTTTGTTTTCAGATTACAGGCTTATGATAGACATTTTAATTTCGAGAATATCCCTCAAGAGAGACCTGTATAATAAAGAACAGATTTTTTGTTCATTAGAAATTCATCATTGGAAAATAATCTGAATAAAGTTGGTGTTTGTGTGGACTGGCTGATTAGGTGGCTTTCCTTATCAGGATTATCTTCCTCGGGGTGGAAAGTAACTTCTGAGGCAATTTCTTGTTGGAGGTCTAGATAATTTATATCTGAAAATCAAATGGAATATAGTGGTGGTTGAGCAGTCAATATAATAAATTTATTTATTGGATACTTACCATTGAGAGGAAGCTGGTTATCTTTATCTTCGAACATTTCAGATGATTCACTACTAGATGGCTTCAAATCACGTTTAGCATTCCTTTTTTCTAATCTCAACATCCGTGGACTGATAGAATCCGAAGTACAGCGAAATATGGAAGGTACAGCTGATTTTTTTAAAAAATTTCTTTGGGTTTACCCCCATTTACACTAGACATCACTTTGTAGTTTCAAAGAACTCAATACACACGATATTATCTAAGTATAAGATTTGAAATAAACGAGCTGATACAAATGAATTTGTTTTAATAAGACACTCTGAGAAACACTTCCAACACGTACGAAGTCTATCACAGAACTGAAAAATTAATTGAAAAATGAATTAAATTAAATAAAAATATATCTATCTATCTATCAATAATGATAACTTATTGATACCACAGGAAGAAGAAAGCGAAGAAGACATTCCAGAACCCGAGGAAGCGTACGCTTTCGAACCACCTCGAAAACATAGAACCGACAGTATGTCGAGTTGTACTTCAGAGCAAGCCAGACAGGAACCGCAGTACGCGCGAAACTTGACCGACAAAAGTCACGGTGAACCAGTGGAAGTCCACGCGAAGCATTCCGACGTTGCAAAAGAAGTCCAGATGGAAATCGTCCTGACAAAATCCGAGACGAGTCAGGCCGATGAGGACGCCACCGTTACGATGCCAAATAATTCCGAAGACGGTAGCGTCGACGATGAAACGAGCAAGGAGGCAGAGAAGGAAGTCAGGAGTAGCAAGAGGCATCGACGGAGAAGGAAAAACTAGTCGTTTGAAGTGAGCAGAGTGGTGGTCGATTGTTTCGAGAAGCTAGCTGAATACCTTGCGTAATGTACCTTTTCAATCAATTTTGGGTTCCAGTTGTACCAGTGAAGTCAGTGCCGGAGAAACTGTCTTTGCCATCTACTATATTTGTTGTTACGTCGCTGTAGCTACATTTTCACCGAGCATTTTTTTAATCAAGTATACCTTGAAAAAAAAATGTTTTTACTGTTTTCATTTTTTTCCGAAACGTAAAAGTGGAAATTTTTTGAACGGAATATATTTCATGTTTGTGTTGATTTATTTTGTTGATGTTATGGAATTTGATCATGGTGAAAATTGTTGAGTATTAATGTTTTATGGTATATCGTTAAACATGTTTTCTTGATGTTTTTGAGGACTTCAACCTTTCGCAATCGGAAAAACAAATCAAGATTAATGGAGAACTTGTCCAATTCTTATGAAGGGCAAACTGAAAACTTCGCCCCAAAAAGTTGTTGCATAATATAAACTCCCGCCTTGATAATCAGTAATATTCATAAATATTTGCCTGATTTTTTCCCTCCAACATTCTCCTTTCTATAAATCAAGTTCTACTCAACGTATATTTCATGTCGTTTTGTGTTGGTGTTGTCTCAGAAATCTGCTTGTTACAATGTTTTTTTTAATATGGATCTAATATGTCTCATGGTTTTCCAAATAGTAATATTATCAACATGAAGAATCTACTTTTCGAGTCCTGATGAAGAATTCAATTAAATTCGAAACTTTGGCAAGAAAACAATGGGTTTAAATAGAAATTGAAGCTGTTACCCAACCAAATTTTCTTCAGAAAGTTTTTTTTTATCGAATGATTAGTTTCAAGGTCAAGTTTCTTATCATAGGTTTTATTTTATCTTCAATTCGAAAGATGTTTTTATCTCTTCCCTGTAGACTTAAGATCAGCTTGTCAAGTGCACTGAAGATAGAATAGAATAGAATTTAATCATCTGTAAAAGCAGAACATAATATGTTACAAAATAATTTGGTCATTACTACTTCATTAGACTAGTCAACTAAAATCAGAATATATACCTATTTATAAGACTCTTCTACATGCACAACCTACTTTCAACGCTAAAATTTGTTAAAAAAGGTCATATTCAGTCATTTAAAAATTCCNAGCCCGAAACCGGTCTGCAAGTGTGCTCGTTCCAAAATTGAAGGTCGACTCTTTCAGTTGTATTGCCAATTGCATATGCAGGAAATTTTCTGTGAAGATTCCTGCACTGACGCCTGTCGGGTGTGCTCCAACGTCCTTCGTGGTATTAGCCAGGGGAGTAGTTGTTTTCTGATAGGTGTTTAAAGTTAATTTCTTTAGATTTGTTTACTACCAGTCTTCAAGCATAACTCATTGACTAATATGAAAAAATAGTTTTGAAATCGATATATATTTTCAGATGTGGGATGCTGATAATCCTCTTTTTATTATTATCATTAGGTACCCAAAGTATATTCAATAATCTGTTTTTTCTGTCTCACTTCTGATTTATCTTTATTTGCTTTGTTCGTACTTAGTTATGTTGTAGTTTTGAGTCATTGTTTTTTCTCTATTGTAAACATACATGTTCCCGGGAAAACTAAATTATTAATTTTATCATCATGCAGTTACTTTTCAAGATAAACTTTTCACTTTACCCTTCATTACACTGGAGCAGATTCTCTATTGTTCTAGATTTATTCATTTTCAGACTCCACAAAAAATGTTCTTTCAAATAATATTTGCAAAATATATGTCCTAGTAAATCCTTACACAGTCCAATACAGTCACATGAAATGTTTTTGATGTATAATTTTTTACAAAAGAATTTATTTATTTAGTGAATGAAGAAATTTTAAAGATACAAAACATTAAGGCAAAACTCACTTTCATTTTCAGCTGCCTAAAGTGCACCTCAGCTGCATTTTGTTTTTCCAAGATGCTAAATATTACATTCAGGCAATTTAATGAAGTAAAAAAATGTTCTATTATATGAAATGTGGCATCTCGTGTTTTTCAGTCATGTCAAATATTTTATTTGTTAGGTCAAGTATGTTATTTGGATAGAATAAAATCTGACAATATCATGCTTCTTGTCATAAAACGTATTTTCGTGTCTTATCACTTGAAATATCATATTTTAGTGATGTTAAACATGACATTTCATATGTTTTGTCACAAAACATATTTTTATATTGGATCACGTCAAATTTGAATGATGTAAAACATGGCAGTTTCATATCATATCACATTTTTGTATCGTTTCAGATCACATATTTTATTTATGGAAAAAAAAGTGGCAGTCATATGATTTATAACATGAAACGTAATATTTTTCAGTGTGATCATTTGAAATGATTCGTAACGTAACATTTCATAATTTCTGACGCAAAACATGTCATTTTCATCTTTAATCACATGACATATGTTATTTTGAATGAAGAAAAACATGACTTTCGTGTTTGATATCATGAAACGATATTTTCATGTTCAGTCACTTGAAATATATTTCAAATGTGATATTTTCGTATTTTTTGGCATAAAACATGTTCATATTGTCCTATTTAGTCACTGAGTAATATATGTCACCTGTGTTCAGCTTGATATTTCATGGTTGTTGATACAAAACATTTTTTCAATTCAAACGCTTCAAATATGTTATTTGAACAAAGTATTAACATGATCTGTATTATGAATCGAAGGGGTTATATTTTTAGGAGTTATTAATTTTTGGGAAAGAAAGTTTTTGGCTTTCTACTACTCTATCTAGATACAAAAAAATGTNGCTAATGATATTAATATTTCTTGTTATTGGGATTTATTCCTGTTTAGACATTGAACTTTTTTTTTAAACTGCGGTTACGTTAGTTACAAATACAAGTGGCATACAACAGGAAGTTTTATTTTTAATTTTCATGTTGATTTCTTACCACGTTGTGATGGCTACATCCATCAATTTATATTATGAAACATCTGAAATACAATTTTTCAAACATAGCATTTCATATTTTTTACACGCTTCATTTTTAAATTTTATCACGTCAACATATGTCATTTGCAGTGAAAAATATGTTAGTTTCATGTTTTATATTGTGAAGTTAATATTTTCATATCAAGTCATGTGAAATATGATATTTCAATGAAGTTGAACGTAATATTTCACCCTTTTTGTAGCAGGAAACATTTTTTTTTATATTCATCCATGTCAAGTATGATATTTGAAGGGATTAATACATGGCAGTTTTATGTCACAAAGTAAGATTATCATGGTCAGTCACCTGTATTATGACATTTCACTGGAAAACATAGTTTCAACGTCACTATGAATGTAATTTTGAGTTCTTTTTGAATACTATATAATGGCATAGAAAGTTATATTCTCATATAAACCATTATATGAATTGGTATTTTCACTGTTTTATGTCAATATATTTTCCTAATTAATATTGCAGATTACCCAGCGATCTTATTTTTCATATTGTAATATGAACAGTATTATTTTTTTTTTGTTTTTTTTTTATGGAATTTATCTTTTCTTAAATATTTTCTAGCTTTGATGAATTTTCATTCACATCATCATGTATTGAATGGAACTGGTCTATATTTGATGAAAGTTCATAACAATAATTTCTACTCACCAAGATTTATATGTGATGTAATCGGCCGATTCTTGATGAAAATCTATAACGTAGTCGAGAAACGGTACGTATCAGAAATACCCGACGGATTGTGGCTGCTCATCTTTTTGAGGTTCAACTCAATACACCTCGAACTTCACAGTAACTGTTAAGTGAAAATCTCACGATAAAGTGTTTCTTGAATATAATATGATTTATTTTGATTTCCACCATAAGAAGTTTATAAAATCGCGACACGTGCACAAAAGCTATCTCAAGCAGTATTTAATTAACTACTTTCAGATTCATACATTTCATATTCTTAAAACATTACTATGATCTAAGGTTTGATCAGATAATTAATCCTGATATAGTTTCACCTACCTGAAAAGCAGGTAAAAATACGTTTACACTTGTAAAAATAATGTGAACTTGTTGTTCAATAAATAAATAAATATTTCATACTGTTCTAGGGTGAGAAGCTATTGAATAACAGAGAGATATTCAACTCGATTTGATCGTTCATTAGATATTGTGAATCTCTGTACTTATTGATGTCTATACTTTCCAGAAAGTCAAGTTTCAAAACTTTCGTCTGGAAATGGAGAGTTTTAAATCCATGATTGAGTGTTGAATTTATTTTTACATTCTGGAAATTGTTTCTGTGGTCTTTTATGCGTGCTTCACATGTTTTTCCAGTTTGTCCAATGTTTTTGAAAGTCAAACTGGAAGCACGCCTAAAAGTTTCCAGAATGGAAAAATAAATTCAACGTATGATACGAAATTCGACAGATAAGGCATAGTATAGCTCAATTCCTATATTATCTGTTCTTTTCAACCTATTAGCTGTAGGAACAAGGTTAGATTTATTTCTTGTATCATGTTGCTGTATATCCTTGTGAGCAACTTTATTCATCAAGTTTTGTTGAACAAGAAGCAGATTTTCATAGACAATAACTGAGTATAGGACCATTATTTTAAGTTTTACAAATATTGGTCGACACTTTTCATCATAATTGGCAGTGGTTATGCTTCTTACTGCAGATTTTTGAATGACAAATATTCTATTAAGATATACCTTTGATGCATTATTCCAATTGATTATACCATACCTAAGGAGTAAATGAAAAAGTGAATGATATGTTGCAAGTGCCGCACTTTGATCTACTATTTTTTTAAATTCTTCTGATAGCAAAAACTGTCTTACAAGTTTACTACACATGCTATTTATATGGTCTATCCATTTCAGGTTGGAATCTATTTGTACTCCCAGAAACTTGGTTCGAATTTTTATCTCAATTTAAGCAAATTGTTTCAAAAGTTGAGAGTTTTTTTTTTGTTCATTGAGAATCAAGTCATTTGGTGTAAACCATGATCGAGCTTTCTCTAATATGTCAGTATGGATCATACGTTATATTTATTGATTTATATATAAAACTTGTTGTTTCCACATGATTTTCACTAGTGAATAAATTTTACCTGATTCGCCTGCTTTTACTAATTAATGAAATGATTGTTTCCGCTCTTTTTAGGTAGTTCAAACTAGATTAGAATAAATTATTTGATAAATAGTTGATCAAATCTTGCTTGAGAAAATTATTGTATATCGAAACATGTGTCACAGTTTTGTAAACCTTTCATAGTGCAAATCAAAAGTTTTCATCAAGGATTGTCCTTTATTATTTTCTGAATTCTGTTTTCATAAATGAAGTCGAAATACTTCAACATTTTTAATAGTTTCTCAGGAAAGCAAAATACCGAGAATTTGCCCTTTTCGCGAGATCGCATTAGTCTGGGTTTAAGACTGTCGTTTGGGCTGAATATTAAGAAAAGTGCGACTCCTGAAGGTCTACACTTGTAGCAAAAATGAAATATCTGCTTTCAAAAATAACTAGAATACAGGGATGTCTTCATCTTGGTAGATGTATATTGGTTTTAATGATTTACATCTTACATTTTTGTGGGTTATGGCTGATTGGATGGTAAAGCTTCTGGCAATAGTAATTTACTAAAAAGGAAACGTCTATCTACTTAAATAACCAGTTCTGAATGTATATTACATTTTTGGGCGAATAATATAAGATTAGGGCTATTTGGTTTTTCAGAGCAATCGGTTGCGTAACATGTCTGTGGTCTAAATAATGTTCTAGACACTTGTTTGTTTGGGCAGTGAAGTATGGAATGATATTGGGTAATTACTTGTAAGATATTAAATTAATTGAATTGTGTTATTATAATTTATTTAAATAAATTACAAAAGAATAGTTTTTGCATTTTCTTCACATTCAGGTACCTGAACATTGCATTCCTTTCCTTTATGAATCAAAATAAGTAACATATATATTCCCAAATAAATATTAATGTTTCATTATTTTCACGTCTGTTTATGGGACTCCGACTCGTATATGAATATTTTATCACCTATTGTAGGAACTGGAGAAAAAATTTAAAAATATCTTAACAAACTACCCTCCTTGATGACTAATAATTTCACATTCTAGGAACAAACTCATTCAACA